ATCAAAATGTTATTGGAGCATCTAACTTTGAGGGGAGTATAAAGCATTTGTTTCATGCTGTTCAATACTCTCTACTCGAACTGATCCAGATGAGCAAGGGCTTATACTTAGCTATTATCTGAAGTGAAGATAACTAGATGTGTTCTCAAGAGAGGCCCACCGTTCCCACCCCTACTTAACTCTGGTAAGAATGTGTTGATGGACACAACCCCAGCGACCGACTTCATATGCGATGACCTATTTCTAGATTGACTTGACGTATGTAGATGTCACTGTCGTATCAAATGAAGATGATAACAAATTCCAGGGTCTTCTGAACGCGTTGAGCAGAAACTGTGTTTGGCATGAGTTTCACACCTATCAAGTGCAAGTTGATGCTACTCCAGGACGGGTTTGGAGCTCCTCTGTTCAAAGGTAGAGAGTAAAGTGACTGAATGAGTTGACTACTTCGCTTAATTGGGAAAGTGCATCAGCCCGAACGGTTTAGGCGCTAACGAAATCACAGTTGAAGTGGAATCAATTTGACAGTAAGCTCAGTGTGACCAGACTAAGAGGTGGCACCAGCTCATGAAGTAGTAGTAGTGGTATAGGATCCTGAAGACGATAGGAACCAATAATTGACGAATATTATTAGCATGGCTGAAAATCTGTGGAAATGGCACAGATGCATTCACTCTTTGATCTCATCTTAAGTTTAAACATTCTCACTGACAGACAAAATCAACGTTGAACCTTGCATAGTTTATCATCTCAGGTTGCCACACTTCGCAGAAGTACACGAAGAACAGGTGGGTAGAAAAAACATTCTCACTGAACTTGCTTCACCTTCCATACACTTTTTACCACTTTGATATAACTTTTCCTACCCACTTATTCTTCGCATAGTGCTATGAAGTTTGGAAAATTGAATCGATTCACTTCCGTGCGAGGTTCTACATTGGTTTCCATTTTGTGTATTGGTCTAGAGTAACCAACAATGATGGTAGCTCAAATTTCCTGTTCCTATTTTTAGCGTACGATAAATATTATCGTTCCAATTGTTTTTAAAACTTTTATTGAGGTACGACACTTCCGATGACTTTTTAGAACTAAGTTTTTTTTGATGCTTTAATGTGAAATTTCTTTCAAGAGGTAATTTATACTTGGATAGACGCTGTCCAGGACTTCCTTCATTGAAATATTTGTCCTATGAATCTAGGGGTATATTAAATCTAAATATACGTAGTGATTTCGGTTATTCACGGACTGAGTAGACCTAGTATTTTAAAAATCTATGAGAAATTTGATACAGAATACGAACTTCAATGAAAAATATAATCAAGAATAATGTCTGTCATTGCATCCGTTTGTTGTACATGAATATTTGCAGCTGTCAAAACTTCGGTGATTACTATGCCTTAAGAGGATTCTCTCTAGTTCTAAAACGGTATTTGAACAAAAATAATGTTGCATGAATTACGTACCATATATGGGGCTTGTCAATTTAAGTTCATGCGGTTAGTGAAACGATGGAATGCTTGTGTCCGGCATGTTGCCGTGAAAACTCTATGTAGCGTAGTCATTATCTCGTTCAAATAAAACTGACAGAAAGCATGACACTGCATTTTTCTTACCATTAGTTCACATTTGTTGCTACATCATACAGCTATAATCTGATTTATGGGAATTTCTTAACACACGAACACTAAATTCCTTTATACGTTTGAACCAGTATCCCAGAGGTAAGTAGAGATGGACTGATAATTTACTATGATATTTCTTGTGTACTGGAACTTCATACAATTCAATATCTTTAGCCGAATAGAAAAACCAGTTTTTGTATTTCTAACCCATACATTTGCAAAAGATGCTCAATCACCACGATCGCATTCGCTTGATGTTAGTTCAAAACACAAAAACAACTACCCATTGCTCTTTTTACCTAATTAAAATGCTCTTCAGGAGTTTTACTGTCTCATCTTGCTATAAATGTCGACTGGATGGATACTTTAGTCTACCAAATTCAATTAAGTATATACTCTCTAATGACCTAAATAATCGTCACTGATCCATTGCAAAGGTAAACTTATTTATTCACTAATTCACTACTGGTTGAATATATCTATTCGCAGATACTTAGATACCTGGTAAAACGAGATAACTCTGCAATAAGTAAGAATGAATTGCTACTCAAGTGAACAAAGTGTTCATTGAGTGGAATATGAGTATAACGAAACCTATTATGATAGCATTTATGTGCCATTGTGTAGTGGATTTTATATGAACTTCAGTATCATAAATGACACTCCAATACATAAAATATTTTCAAGCCATTGACTGAAACAGTTTCTACTACAATTATAAAAAATTCAGTTTGTCACTGTCTGAAAATGAATTTACTAGATTATTGATTTGAATGGAGGAAGAAAACTTTTTCTGGATTACTGTCAGCTCTAAGATTATGTTATTGAGCATTGTGAAGCTTTGTCGGGATCAAAAGACTATTAATTGCCTCCAATATTCGATGTCCTATCAGTTCCAAATAACCATATTATCTTCATATACTCAAGTGAATAACATCGCTTATACCGCGTATCGAACCCGGTGCGATCCAATGAAATTTAAGGCAAATGGGTAAATAAAACGCCTCATCCATTTAAAATTTAATAACTTTCAAGGTCAACAGAAATCTTACTAGTTATTCTTACAGATCAAACACGCCTCAGTTCATTATGAAATCAGCACTGATGGGTCTACCACACCTACCAATCAGAAATGTACAACCAAACATCAAAGTTTAGGTAACAATGGATTTGCTTTTTTACCATGAAGAAAACCCTAGGATATTTGAGTCTCCTTCTGTTTACAAAAAAGTTGGTATCTTAGAGATCTCGGACAGAATTAGAATACCAACATTGTTGTATTGAACCACATGTTGAAAATACTAAACTCAAGAAAAGAATAAAAAACTTGTGAACAGTCAAAGAACACGACATGGAGATTTCTGTAGTTGAAGAAAAACATTTCGGCCGAGTAACATTCTATAACAGTGTGTCAGAAGTGATGATCATGAATAATAAGATAGTAACTAGTCGGTAAAATTTATGGTATAATAACAACGCATTACAAAAGTACTTATCAAATGCGGAAAGTGTTAGTAACATCAAGACAAGATGTGACAGAATAGACTATGCAACCTACATACGTCGTAAACTGTGTAAAAAAAAGTCGCAAAGTTTTGAGTTCAGGTTATGAAATAGTGGAAATCAGTAGTATGTGAAGACTAAAGTGTAACGCTGGTGAACACTCACGTACATAATACTGTTTTAAAAACCGTATATATAAAACTCGTAGCAATCAAAACTTACTTTCATAGTATTAGAAATAATTCGACCATCAAGGCATAGATCTGAACGTTTCGCACTGACTAAAGATCAACAATTATTTACATTTTAATGGTGGATAATGGTTATCAGTGAAATCCAGGATGCGCATTTCGTCCTATTTGGGACTCATCAGCTGGACGTGCCTACCTCCCAGTTAGTGTTGTTCCCATCGGGACTTGAACTCGGGTCGACCGCTTCAAACGCCAAAGCGCTATCCACTACACCATCGAGCCACGATAGCCACTTTCTTATTCAAATTTCTTTCAGAAAAGTTGAAGTGTGCTGATAAATACCTTAAATCTTATCAAACAGGTTACATTTGTTCATGAAAAATTTAATGAACTCATCCAATTTGGAAACTCTCATCATGGATAAACAGCGGTTATAGAAAAACTCAATATTAGAAAGTAGCATTTCCGTCTAGGTTTGAGAATTCTCAACGTCTCTTCGAATATATTTGAAATAAAGTTGGACACCTTTAATTCTCCTAAAAAGTACATTTTCATTCAATTTCTCACTCAGGATCTAAACTTAGTCGATCGCCTGGTAAGAGTAAACCATCACTTAAAATCGTCAGTGGGATTTCGATCTTAAACATGACTAGGTCGGCTATCTTAATTTGTAATTAGGGATATGTACTATCAACAAAGTCGGAAATAAGAAAAGATATAAGGATGATGAATAACACTAACAGCCACCCTGATAACTATCTAAATGGCCAATCAAGTGTATCTGTTTACGTTATGAAAAGAAACAAAGTTACTTAACCAAATCGAGAAAGCAGATTGGTTAATCCAGTCGTTGTGATGGTGGTCATCAGAGTTGCTCAAGAACAACATTGGATATCGAATATACATCTCAGAATATCTTTGTCTTCATCTTCGCACCCCAACAAGCTGTATTCCTAGGATAATCCCCTTCCTACCCACCCACTCATTCCATTCGATTGACATTATCATTTGTGGCGTTTATTTGTCATACTTCCACACATGAGACCTTCACTTTGACTGGCTGTCTTTATGCATCTGATTTTGCGTAAAAATCAGATGCATAAAGACAGCCAGCCAGACAGCGTATGCGCTGATCTGTGATTTTGGTTAGTCAGCTCACTAGAGAAATGAGCTCGTAATTCTCCAAGTACATTATTTGTGGGTTATTTAGCTTGCAATTGTTGGTTTATCTTGAAATTAGGTCAGCGCAACATTTAAAGTGCTGTCTAGATAGTAAACCTGAATAGCTTCGTTCTGGACTTTTGGCGTTCTCATATCACTGGCCTGCAGTCTAGCAGTCACTGGCTTTACTGGATAATAAATGATCTAATTATTCCATGAAATGACTGAAGAGGAAAATCGTTTAGCGTTCACCTTTCAAATAATCGTTTCCGTCTAAGATTTGGCAACAAGATGGGAACTCAAGAAGGAGACTATTTTATCATTTAACAATTAATATGAAGAATAGAAGATTAGTTGACGCTGTATACTATGAGTCAAACAAGTTCATTTGAAGTTTATCTGGCGAAATGTTTACACATCTTATTTACAATTAGGAATTGATCAATAATCATTTGTTGATAAGTTAGGGTTGCAAATAAAACCCTGTTGATCGATGTGAAGAATCGGAAAGAAATACTGGACTTTATTTTTTTACCATTTTACTTGGATGTAGTGAAGACCATTCATCTTCAGGCATTATACACCAATTTGGAGAGCCTGTTGTAAGTCGTTTATTAGGACAACTGAAATCCTCAACTTCACACCATAAATTGCGTTCTACTGACAGACCAGCTGAGGATAAATCTTCGTCAAGTGACTTATAAGTAAGTTGATATGGAGCTACTTTTAAATTTGTACATTCTTCAATAATAGGTCTACTAGACATATGTAATGCAAGTCGACAGTTTGATGTTCCATGTACTCTCAACTGACGACAAGCAAACACTAGATCACAATTAATACATTGATCAAGCCATACGGATCCAGCAACAGGATAACAGTAAACTTTACAATTATTCAAACGACGACCTATAAAACTGCCAAAAACACTACACACTTCAATAGTACAATCTTTAAGATCTGCTAGGTAAACTGATTGAGTAATAAGTGAATCCGATTGACAATCTGCATTCGGTATAACACAATACTGAGGACCAGTAATATGAACCAAACTGAAACGTGGATCATACATTGATGATTCATCGGTGGAAGAAATCGTGGACGAGTGTTCACAAATGGGAGTTTTCATTTGATTATCACTTTTAGTCATGCTTTCCTGTTTCTTGTTGCTTTTCTGTTGACGTGAAAATCCAAATTTTTAACTGGTAATAGTTCCTTTCTTTTTGCTTGAAATAGATCATTTAAATTCTGAAATAACATTTAGAAAACATTATTGCCTACAAAAGGGAATAGCGTAAGTAAAAAAAATAATGGATTTTGAAAAGATAATAATCAAAATCTACCGAAAATCTTAAACAGCTTTGTGTTGAGGTTTCATCTCAGTCTATGTTGAATTGACAAACATAAACTGATCAACCTTCATCAGAAACAGAGTTCATGTACCCCAATGTTTCGACATCGCTTTTGACTAGATGTTCAACAGTAGTAAGCCAATAGACATTAGTCAATTTATCATCCGCAAACTATCTTATACTTACTTGATGGATTTTTCAACTCCTGATATCAAGAAGACAACCCCTTTCAAATATTCTAACAGTCTTATCAGTGATTAACTTGTGAAACTGGATCGTGATGCTGAGCTTCTCAGACCTCGTATTTTTTAAGTTCATACCAATTAGAAATTTTAATTGCATAGACTTGTCACAACGATTTACAAGTATATGCAATCCTTCCTATTAACTACAGAAAAAATCTTTAATGGAGAGCAATATCTGTTTAGTGTGTCAACAGTTGTTATTATTATTATTGTTATATCGCGTTAAGTAACTAGAAAACACTGTAACGCCAGCTCACTAAAATTTTTATCCATCAACACTTAATGAACAAAGAAGAGAAGGAAACTGACTGACTGACAAAATCAAACTAGAACATCACACAACTGTGCATCAATTCACGTTGCCACACTTTACATTAGTATGGAAAGAAAACATCGATAGAGAAAGCGTGACATCAAAGTATATAAAGTTCTGTGAGAAAATAAGCAATCTGAAGATTAAGGTCAGTGTGAAGATTCAAGCTTAAGACGTCATGGAGTGAACACATCTGCATCATTGTGACCGATTTCCAGCCATATCACCAAGAGTCCTACCTAAACCATTGATTCCTAAGGTCTCGTGTACGGCAACCGGAGAGCCTGCATCGCGATACGCGACTCAGCCTGACAGTAGGAGACTTCATCGACTGATTCCATGTCTTGACCTGATCACCATGAACCCTCTTCTAACCTAATCCAACATCCTTCAGGATGCCACGTTGGGGTAGGTGGTGGCTCGGCTCACATAAGTGAGAGACGTCATTGTATAACTAAGCATACGTTCGAAAAATTGAGTTTGTTCACTTATAGGTATCCAAACCAAAGTGGGTTTTGACAGTTTCAACATATTTACGACAGAACACATAGTTACCATACGTTAACCTCTTCCCACCGGTCTACCCTACCGTCTAAAAATGCAGTTTGAAATAACAACGATGATCAACAAAAAATCTAAGGGAGGATAACCGATAACTCAAATATCATGAGTTCATAGTGATGAACATACTGGCAAAAAATAAAACTTAACATAATCTCCGCGCTAACTGTTCATATACAAAAACACTAATATATGGTTACAGAAAAACCCACCTTTAGCTCCAAACCTGCTTGTTCATTGTCGAATGAATTGAGATACATTGATGTTTCATTTAACCACTTCTGCATATAGTCTAAGCGAATTAAAATATCGTCCAAAAACTACGATGTAGGGAATGAAGAAAACAAAAGAAATACATCAATATTAGAAGTAACATTTTATAAAACATAAATCCTCACAAGTATGCAAGCTTTTGCGCATTACACACTGCAAACCATATTATTAATTGCAACGAATAGTTTAAACTCCTGGTTTTCTTATTCCAACAGTATGTTTCGGTCTATGGAAGTGAGAGTATTTAACGAATCTATGATCCTATCCACCAATAAATAGTTCCGAAAATTATGCATAAAAAGAAGTGAAATATAGTAAGAAAACTTTAAAAAAATAACTAATCTTCGTAAACCACAGCAAGATTTAAATGGAAAAACTAGTTGAAATATCGCCTAATTAGTTCTGGAAATTAACTAGTTTAAAAAACATCAAATAAACTTAGCAGAGAAAAGACATATTACAGCCATTCACATTAACAGACGAAATCAATGTAGAATCTCACGCACAAGTGCATCGGTTCCAAGTCGTAACAATTCACAGAATCATGCAAAGAAAAAGTAGACAGTAAGAGCGATTTCAAGGTAGAAAAAGGTGCCAACTAAGAGAAAGAATTTAACATGATGTTTAGTCCAAACATTCAAGCTTTAGAAGACGTCAATGAGAGAATTCATCTGCGCCATAATGATTGATCTTAAACCATGTCACCAAGAGTCATCAATCGTTGATTCCCGTAGTCTCGAGTACCCAAGTTATGCAGCCCATACCTCCTTACGGGTCTTAGACCAACAGTAAAGAACTTCATCTGCTGGTACCAGGTCTTCAGCTGGTCACCCTGGACCCTGTTCATACTAAGTACAGCTTCTCTTAACATGGAAAGTCGAGGAAAGTAGTGACACAATATACGAAGTACGTGTCCAAGCCACCTCAAACGAATAAGGTTCACAACCGCATCAATCAACTTGCCTGTAGCGCTTGGTACCTTTTGTCTGACCTCAATATTGCTCACACGGTGATCCCATCAAACGCTAGCAATGTTACGAGGACATCTGTGATCAAAACCCTGTAATTACTCCATATCTTCTACTTTTAACGATCATATCTCAGCCGCACAACAGAATGCAACGAACTGAAGCGCAGTTTACTCGTAGCTTGATTGACAGTAGGAAATCTCACCAATTGGCACCATAGACGACTCGAATTGGCAAATGTCAAACAGGTCTTCTGTACGCTAGCTGAAATTTCGTCAGCAACCACCCGGTCCAGGCTTATGCAACTCCCCAAGAAAGTGAAGTAGCCGACACATTCCACCACTACACTTCCTAATATTTATATTAGGGTGCTTTGAAGCAGACCAATGCTAGAGCATCATCTTACATTTGGCAGGTGCCAGGGAAATGCATGCCAAGCGTCCTCAGAATTTTACTCAATGCCTTCACAAGACCCTGCATTTTATCAGCGTCACCATGTAACAGGCCAAATCATCTGCATACTCCAAGTCAACCAGCTGCTCTTCAGGGAGTAGGTCGATACCTGTCAAGTCAGATGTGCATAGGGTTGCGTCCAATAGTACGTCTATAATGAAGGTAAATAGAGACGGTGACAGTGAGCATCCCTACCGGACACACCTAGTTGTCGTCAATTTAGATGACAACTCTCTATAAGCCCTTACACGGCTGCGTGACTTTGAGCAAAAAGCTCTGATAGGCATCATATATTTCCTAGGTACTCCCTTCATAGTCAAACACTGCAAATTCTCACGATCGACAGAGTCAAATGTCGCCGTCATGTCGAGAAATATTGCAACCAAAGGTGCTGAAAGGGTACTTTTGAGGTAAATAGAAACGATGACGAACTTTTGATAAAGTTCGACCTTTGGTCGCTTAATAAGTGGTTTAAATGACTATCTTCATCAGTCATTCTGTATACTGCGTAGAATCAAGTAAACAGAAAGTATGAACATTTTCAGAGTTATTCAGTACAGTTCAAGTTGTCTCGAAATAACAAGTATCAGTAATTGAAGATTCTTAGTGATATGGCTCAGAGTTTACTTATTCTTGCTGAAAACACAAAATCGGTACAACATGGGTACGAAGAGATACACTCTATACTCTACTCTACAACACTGATAACATAAAGGTGATATCGTAAGATGGGAAGGAAAGAGGAATGGAGGCCAATATTGAAGTGAGTTATTAAAAAGAAGCCGTTTCATAGATACATTCAAAGAGGCATGCACTTCAAAGCAAGCGGACGTAGATTACCATTTCCATAGTAAACTATGTAAATATTATTACATATTACTACAATCGTACTTTAATAAAATCCTCATGAAACTATGGAATTTCAACGTAAAATATCTTAATGTTGAAGCAGTATTCACCACGGAATGACATCAGTAGAACAATTGAAATCCGGGAGCAGCGGAAAGCTGTTTCATTCTACTACGGGACCCCTCAACAGTACTCACCCACATCCCGGTTGCGGATCGAACTCAGAACATTGAAGTTTCACAGCAAACGCGCTAAGCATTCAACCAATGGGTCGGAATCCAATGGTCCACAGTTTCCTACTTCAGTCAATTCGCAATATAGTGCAACTATCACCCAAGGTCTTCAGTTAGAATCTGCTTCCTTTGCAACTGGTTGACCACATAGGTCACGGCTTCTCATTAGAACTTTGAGATATCCATCTCAAAGCATGTCACTCTAATGAGCACTATACATTAATGCATTTTGAAGTTAATAGGGATTCTAATTTTGAGGTAGTATTCACCATCTCAGTGTATTTCCATCGTTAGAATTCCAAGCAAATATGGACCATTGGATTCTGACCCAGTGGCTCAATGGTAACGTGCTGGCCACGGAACCTGAGGGTCGTGGGTGCGCACTGCTGAGGAGTCCCAGACTAGGAAGAAACAGTTGTCCAGTGCTCCCAGGTTTCCTTTGTTCCTCCAACTGATATCAGTCTACAATGAATAACAACTTGAAATAAATATTTCTTCCTTTCCAACACCCTCGACGGGATAGCTGGAGTAATTACCCAACATTTTGGGAAAGACAATGCCACAAGCTGAATATTTTCATCACCTAAAACAGACGGCTGACAGTGTGATGGATTGCAATACAAGTGTCAAATAAAATCAGCACTTGCAAAATTCGTAAAATAGTTTCCCTAGTTGTAAAACGTAGAATTAAATTAATATAGCTTGGTTCCCGTCAGCAGTTCATATAAGTTGGCCGTAAACACAACTAAATTGAAATGCTTCGGTGTCATGTGTTTGAACTGAAAACTGCAAAGTATAACTTTGATACTCTCACGTCATTCTAACTATTTGCACACCTCATTGTCTGAATATTCCTTGACTTGACCAGGTCTATATCAGTCACTAACTTGACTAAAAGGAAAGCGAGGTAGCATTCATAACCCTTTAACTATCAGTTTTTCCTTACCTACCACCTTACAATATGAGTCATACATATATTCAAATGAATTACATGACCATGATGCACCAAAATTCATAAGAATGAAATGACGAATTTCACACAAAAATTGAGATAATCCATGAACACACATCGCATCTGGTGTGCAATTATCTTGTAACTACTAGCTGTACGGAATCGGGTGAGGAGTCAACATAAAGTTCCTGAGCTGAGATACATAATAACACTAAGAAATAATTTTTGGAGTAAAATATTTTTTGAAATACAGTGATACGACCGATAAACATTGTCTAAGATTCCCATTTTCAGTCTTCAGGTCCATTTTACTGCAATTATACAACATACTGGATTCCATAACTCTTCACCAAAAACGCTCTACACTGGGTGTGATAACCTTTACACTGCTAGACAGAACTTTAAAAAACTAGTCGTTTCTAGCCGAAAAATCAATTAGAACAACAGGATGAAAAGCACAGCATCTTAAGTGATTAAAAGCGAGCTTCCAAATGCAGTCTTAACCAATAAACTACAATTTCACTCACGAAATACAACTAGTTCGCCTTTGAAGCATGAAATCTAATAAAATCAAAACAATAAGTGTCACAAAAATGTATTACAAAGCATGGAATGAATACTAACCTGAGTAACCTCATTTACTGGTAAGCCATGTTCATGTACCTTGGTAGCAGTATCTTCCAAATCTTGAACAATACCTGCCTTGTACTGAAGAAAATGCTGCAAAAACTCTGTGTGATTAACTGAATTACTCTGAGAATCGCAGTTCTCATCCTTTAAGGCTTTCTTTCGTTGACTATTAACAGCATAATTTTGGGCGTGACGTTCGGTTAAACGATTTAATACGGCTTGACGATTACTACTGATATTCGTTGAGTTTCTACTGTCTACTGAAGACATCATTACATTGAGATCCATTGACTAAAAGACAATTTAGGCTGTAAACGTGTGGTATTTTCGTAAAAATGAAAGAGAATAAACTTTTCATTTATGAATGAGGATAATTGTTCAACTTACATTTTTGTAGTTTATACACAATGATAACAAAAATACGATGAAGAAGTATTAAATCTATAATAATTTTAGGCGGTATTCACCGTAAGTTTGAAAAGAGAAGATCAAGAATAACATGCGCAAACAGGACACTAAGCAACCAGTCACATAACATAAAGTTGAAAACTCCTAGAAAATGGATCCTTCATGCATCACAATAAAACCTTAGATGAACTAGAAAGGAAATGTGCATTTGTACCTAAAGTCTAATTTATTAGTAGACACTGTAACAGAAGTGCAACAATTCAACTTGCCACGCTTAGAAACAAGCAAAGAAGTGGGGGAAGAAAGGATGATAGTGAAGTAGACAAATGTTGATGAGATGAAAGAAAGCACATACACTAACGTTGATAAAAATATTCAAAAATGTGTATAAAATCCGCATTATTGTGATTGGTCGGTTTCCAGCCATCACCAACCTAGATCGCCTTCGTGACATCAGACTTGTTGCAAAACGTTGTATAATGCGTCGGTCTGGACAGTTCTGTTCTACGCCGACTAAATGTAGTCTGTTAGAACTGAGGATATCCGACAATTCTTTGTTTACGTAACGCTGTTGTCGGAAAAGGCTAGCATACAGTGGGAATACAATGTAAGTAATTCTGAGTTGAGCTGACATATGTTTGGGCATGATGGGGATCGTCATTCATTTAGTGAGGTGATTTCGAAACGCCAGCTTTGGCTAGTTGGACATGTGTCACGTATACAGCTTCTGTGGTTCATACACCATTTACCTTTCCTAAGGTTAGTTGGAAGAAGTAGAGATGTGGTCAGGATATGACGGTGTCATGAAATGAAGGATTGGTGTGCTGGGTTAGTATGTGTTGGTGCTTCACGAATTCTTGGATAGGATCGCATACAACATGCAACTCAGTGGTCTGAGGTGCTAGTGGATACAGCTTGGAGACCAGACTGTAGCTTTCGTTCCTGATATTATCAAAAAGAAAAACTTAAGAAGTGGATCTTTCCTTGAACGCATTTGTGAAACTGTCTTTTTTTAAATAAATCACTTCAATATTGGCCTCCATTCCTCTATCCTTCCCATCTTACGATATCACCTTTATGTTATCAGTGTTGTAGAGTAGAGTATAGAGTGTATCTCTTCGTACCTATGTTGTACCGATTTTTTTGTTTTCAGCAAGAATAAGTAAACTCTGAGCCATATCACTAAGAATCTTCAATTACTGATACTTGTTGTTTCGAGACAACTTGAGCTGTACTGAATAACTCTGAAAATGTTCATATTTTCTGTTTACTTGATTCTACGCAGTATACAGAATGACTGATGAAGATAGTCATTTAAACCACTTATTAAGCGACCAAAGGTCGAACTTTATCAGGAATTCGTCATCAATCTTCAATCTTCTCTTTAATTTGTCTACCTTAATGACCGTTAATGTTGGTCATTCTATTCGATAAAGAAGGTTCAGAATTTTTATGAGATTTCTCATTGCGAAATATTTTCTTCACTGCCGTAGGCTTATTCGAAGGACATAATCCTTGAAAATATCGCACAGTTTTTCGTTTTTATGACATTTTACTTCAATTAATTCAGTCAAATTTCGAAGAAAACAGTGAAATACATCATCACCAATTTGTGTATTCGTCGGTAAATCTACTGAACTATAACAAGAAGTGTTTGAATAATGCATAGACGTCTGATAAAATTATCAAGACAAATCACCGTTTTCCACTCACAACAGTTTCAGAAGCGCTTTCATTGGAACAGAAGGGGAAACTCCTAGGCACAGTATTTCAAATGCTGTTCTTGACTAATACATACTTCTATCTCAGTATCCAAAGTATGTAGCCTAGTAGTGCAATATTGCTAGGATAGCAGCCGTTTTCATGTGAACCCATTGTTTAGAAAAGGACATAAACCAAATAGGAATATTTCCACTAACATAAGGTTTACACCAATGGTGTTGGATTAAGACATTGAGAAAAAAGAACTGATAATTCTTACACACTAACACGCAATGCAGTATACATTCCCGAAACACCTAGATACTAGCTTCAAACACCACAGAAAATGCAATTGACGTAGATCAGCAAAGAAATGATCTTTTCAGAATGGACATAAATTTTAGCAGGGCTTCATAGGATGGCTAACAGTATTTCTTGACATTAGGGATAAGCGGTTATACATGCGGATGATCGACTTTTCGAATCATTACTCATCGACATCGACTGAAATCTAAAACCGATAAAAACCAAGGGACTATTTGCAATGAAACAGTTACCGTAGTAGGAGGATGTAACAGACAAGTAGATCAACTTATAAATCATAGGCAATTTATGCTAACTTATCCAATGAAAACTTCAGAAAAGTGCCGTGCCCCAAATAGGTTCCAGACCTTGATTTTAACAGGGAGTCATTCCATTCATCACATAAACCATCTACTTTCGGGCACATATATGTCACAGAGACAAAGACAATATTGTCGATAAAATGTAGTAAGAACGTATGTAATGACATTGTTTAATTTGTAGATCGAATGGATGGGAATACTATAATGGTGTCTAGGTCGAATACAGATAGGAGTGAATGGTTAAACTGGATACTTTGCTCACAACTTTAATAAGACTAACTCACGATCAACTGGTGACGTTGATGTTACACCATGACCATGATTTTAGGAGTTAAAATACTTAAGCAAAAATAGTGAGTGCAGAGTAGTTGAGCTTTATAAAAATAACTAGTTTCTGATTACTACACAACTTTCCTCATAGAGACAACAGTAAAAGAAACTGTAGTAACCCGGTTAGTGTACTTGTTTTGGTATCACTTATGGTAGGTGCTGTATGCATTAGCATTTTGTTCATAAAGGGCTAAAGTGAACTGATATTTACGTAAATAATTAGAGGTGGCAAACTTGAGTAACCTCAGATGACAATTTTATGTGATAAAATTCCATCCACACAAAAACTACAGGTACCAAATATTTTAAAGTAGCAACCAAATGTTACTGTATTCTATACAGAAGAATTAGGAACAAGGGTATCCTAAACAGTTAGTGACAACCAAGGTTTTGAAATCGTCGACAATTACTTGTAGTAATAATAATACATATATATGACTAAGGGCCTAAGTAAAGCAATGTGCACCAAACGGTGAGTCATAGCTCTTGTATGAAAGCTAGCAATAGTCTGGCTGACAAAATGTTGGTAGGTGGGAGGGGATCCGGACATCTAACCCACTAGTTGAAAGTCGACCATCACAGGAGACTATATGCCAATAGTGACCGATCTTTTTGTTCCTATCAATGACAAGAAACTGGAAGATATATCATAACATATCCGTAGTTTCGGTAATTCAGTGGCCAATTAGATGACGCTTTGGAATTTGAAGCGGTGGGTATTAACTGTAAACCACAATGGGGATAACACTGCTAACTGAAGGGCAAGTTCACCTAACTGGCAAGTCCTAGATAGGACGAAGGCGCGTAATAGATTCCACATCTAGATTCTTTTAACCGACCGTCAACTGCATATGACGGTTTGCGAATTGCTGTCATTTCTTACATCTACTCACCTATCAGGAGAAGTTAGATTCTTCCTACGGCCGCACATCATATGTATAAGGTGATTAGTTCCCAATACTGGATTTCAAAATTAATTGAAATCATAGAAGCTGGATATCTTAGCAACTGATTTAACTAAGTTACAAGTCGATAATAAGGCATAATATAATAGATTTCAACATCTGGTTTCGCTTTTATGCCTTTTCTATAGTAAACAGAAATACATAATATTCATTTCAGCGTAGGTGATCAACCATATGAAAATACAGTTGAATATTCATATAGTTATCTGGACGGATCGCAATAGGTAAAGAGGTAATAATAATAATAATAATGACAATCACGTAATTCCAGACAATAAGGTTTAGTACAGATGGATAGTGGCTAGCAGTTGAATCCAGGATGCGCATTTTGTCCCATTCGAGACTCGTCAGCTGGATGTACCTGCCTCTCAGTGAGTGGCGTTGTTCCCACCGTGATTCGGACTCGGGACCGATCGCTTCAAATGTCAGAGCGTTGTTTACTACACCACCGAGCTACGATAGCTACTTCTTGTGCGACGGGTATAGTTTTAGTATTACTGCGTCGTTGATTGGACCGAATTGGTAGGTCTCTATTGGTATACGGGCTCCTGTGCGAACGCCTCGGTAGTATCTGTTTTAATTATAGTGATGATGGATAGTGGCTAGCAAGTAATACTGAGGCGGCCGCACTGGAGCTCATATGCCAATACAGACCGATCAATTCGGTCCAATCAACGACGGTATAATACAAGCAACGTTTAGTACAGTTTAGAATTCTCAGTGTGATATTTCAACAAATTTACTTCGTATACAATATTTTCAAAATATCCCTGCCAGTTAAATACTATTACTAATAACAGTATATTAAGCAGGGAGGCATAACGACCAGTAGTTTTTAGGTCATTATCTAGTTTGTAAGTTGTCCCACCTGGGTCGGATAGAAAAGCACATGGAAGTTTGGTGATCATCCAGTATGAAAATTTGCTGTTCCAGATGTGTCCCTATAGTAGCTATATGATACAGTGCCATTCGATTAGCAGCCAACTGCCGTCTGCCGTGATATTTTTTCGTAATCGTATTACCAACCCATCAAACTATAGGTTGAAGACATTTTAAGAGTGCGTTAGAGTATGTTTTACGATTTGTCGACATTTGAATGGTTGCAACAAATAAAAAAGGAGAAATTTGATTAAATATATTCGGCGAATTAGTTTTGGTAACCTGAAACTCAAGCATCCAGCCAGGAACATAAACATTTTTCATCTACTCATCATACTTGTTTACAGGTTTTAGGTTTACTTAGAATCAATCCAAAAAAGGATTGAATTTAACAAAAAACCGTACTTAAGAGAACTCAAAGCACGATCGAAAAACCACCATTTAGTCGTCATTCGGGTGTTACAAACACAGTACACAAACCAGCACAATCTCTTCAGAGCAATCCAAAAAAACAAAAGGGGAACACGATAATTATGCAACTATATTACGTCGTGTTGAAATACAAACATACAAAAAAGATCATGGTAAAAGACTCAAGTATGAATGATAACAATTCGCTGCTTACGACAGGAAAGAATGGATAGAGAGGAATATGCTATACATACATAAATATACACATTAATTACAATTTCTTTCCTCATAAGGAATAAACTGGAAATATGGTTTCAAAAACAATAGTGGTATGGGAGGGTAAAAGACAAAGAAGTGATGGAAAAAGCTTAGCGCAGCTTAAACCCTAAACATTAAAATACATCAGTTTCAATTGGATCAGATTTTGCTTTTTCTTTCGCCCTAATCACGGCCTCACCAGAAGGATGAGATTCATCGGCAGTAGATAACTTACGCTTAGAATTGATTTGACCGTATGACGGACTGTTGTGTGATACATGACTATCAGACCGTTTTCTTGTGTTTTGTTGTTGGTCATGATTTGAAGACTCAGTATACATGGCCTGATGTTGATCTTCTTCCATTAGTTGAGGTTCATCACCCAAAGCGAATGTTTCACTACCATCTGATAATTCACCAGCTTCTAAGTCTTGACGATGAGAACTATTTAAGTTTTTGCTTGTGTTTAACGCAGGTCCTGAAGTATACATAGAGGCGGGAAGTTCACCCTTAGGAATGCCAAGACTTTTAGGCTTGGTTTCTATAGATATATCATTCAATGATGACCATCGTTCATTTTCCTCTGCAACGTCATTTCTACTAAACTTCTCTGACTCATCAGTTTTATTTACTTTATTATTAGATGGATCAACAATACCTGAAGTTAAACGACGACGTGCTTGTAAAGTCTCTTCAAATTCTGTTTCAAGTTTTTTCCGGCGACGAGCAATGAGAGCTGAGTAATTATGGAGAAAAATTGAACACAAATGTAATGACAACCCAATAAATACTGTGATATATTGCTGCACAATCATCATATCTACATAGAAACTATTAATCGTACAGCTGATTAGTTTAGAAGACAATGAATATTGATCAGGTGATAGCACACAACCATGGATCATAACATACTACCAACTATAATCCAATGCCTGAATAAAAAAATTATGAATGGTACATGAAAACATGTGTACACGAGTGAAATAAGCGACATTACGTCATACGTCAGTTCTGGAGAGCACAAAGCATCATCCTGAATATCACGAAAACGAAGACATGGTACAATTGGCAACTTCATTACATTAGACCGCTACGATTAATGATATATGTAAGTCGAAATGGAATCAAAATCCACTCAACAACCATAGGTATGTTCATGCACGAAGTAATCAGCCATATTTACTGTGTGAGAGGTAATAATACTACCTGGTTGCCTAGACCTCGATAGGTGGAACTGGATTCGAACGCGTGACAAAATGGTTGGAAATCGAGTGTCTGGACAAATGAGCGACAACCCCACATTTACGCAATTAGATAGCATAGACCCGATCTTATCTGCTTATGGAAACCTTTGGACTTAGATTGATAACCAATGGCATTACGCTAACCAGTGATGTTAAAGTTAGGATTGAGTTCAAGTAGGAAAAACAACTCCAAGAAACCATGAATCTGCTTGAAGTGTGATGGCTGATATATATATATATATATATATATATATATATATATATATATATATATATATATATGATGCATAAACAAAAGCTGTCTGTCTTCAGATGATCCGTTAGCTACATAATAAGGATAACAAACTGAAGTCACACTACATAAAAAAGTATCGAATAGTGATTATTGCACTAGGTTGGGGAGGGAATCTTAGGTTACAGGGCTAAAAACTATGACAAAAAGAAGACTTGTGATTAATATAAGTGTAAAACTTAGGCACTGTGACTAAAAATAAATCACTGCTAGCGTTAAAAAACTTTTCCTGAAAATTAAGTACAGTTTGACTCAAGATTTACACAATCTCCATATATTCAGTTACTACTTTGCTAACTTCATAATCTTTCGTTATGGAGTAAGCATGCTTGTCAATTCCAACTATTTATTATCATATACCATGTTTAAATACATGTTGTACCGGAGACAAGTTGCACAATAGCGCGAAAACAAATCGTGAGATTTAACAATGGTCAGTCAATGCCGTATAATTAGCGCACTGTGGGAATAAATTCATCTTTGTACTAGATGCTGGTCTCGAACTGATTTAGTTCATCGCTCGCCAAAACACGAAAATGCCAACATCTCTGTACAAAAAAAATGAAATACAAGGGTGTACGCGCTGTCAATATTACTTTTTTGTTTTAAGTTGTAATGCAATAACTGAGAATTCAGCGTCTAAATAACTAATAACCAGTCACTAATCACATATGCTAATCTTTCATTGAGGAATGACTTCAATTCACCGTATTTACAATATCTGATAAACATAGTTGAAATAATAGTAATAATAGTGATAAGAATATAACTAACTGTCAATAGCTCGGCTTGTCATTTCCATACGCCACTTAGACTCTTGATTATGAACTTTTGGACGATAAAACACGAACGGTGATTTTGAAGTACGACAAAAACCTTTCATCTTCTCCTGCTGTTCTTTCCATATTTCAAACTTTAAACAAAATAGACAGTGAAATAAAGTTGAGATTTAGGCTAAACCATAAGAAAATCACAAGTTAGTATTCACCGCAGGCTAATATCAGTTGGGAAAGCATTAAAAACCTGGGAGGACTGGGAAGTTGTTTCCTCCTAGTATGTGACTCCTCAGTAGTGCGCACCCATAACCATACCACTGACCCACTAGGTCAGAATCCAATGGTTCACATTCCCCGAATTGTCAGTTCACAACATAGCGCGACCTCGATCCAATATCGTCATCGAGTAAATATCCTCACGTCTAACTTGATCCGTCCCACCGGTCACGACTTTTCACTAGAGCTTTGGGAATTTCATTTTAAAGCAAATCACTAATGAGTGGTAGACAGTAATTCAATTTAGAGGTTTGTGGGAGCTTGACAGAAGTAGGGGAATGTGAACCGTTGGATCCCAACCCAGGGGCTCAATGACATGGTCATGAGTGCAGACTGCTGACGAACGCATACCAGGAAGAAACAGATATTCAGAGCTCTTAAGTTTTCAGTGCCTCCCCAATTGATGTCAGTCCGTGATAAGCACAAACGTGAAATCAGTAAATAAATCCCCACAAACCTTTAAACTGCGTAGGAAAATCAAATTTTAAAAATGAAAAATTTTCAGCGAAAAAATGACAAAAAAGTCAGAATGAAGCAGTAAATATGTTCTGAGTGGCAAAATGACAATCTGGGTAAAATGGTGTGGGCTACAATTACAACACAAGCCAATAACCATATATACAGGTTCATTCGCCAGATAGCGAACCTAACATACAGTGAGAAATATATTGTTTGGTTGCTGTAATATGAGTGTGTAGGACTGGATTCAAAACTGTTACTAGCCGACTAAAAATTGAGCCCTAAAGCCGAGAAGCTCCATTATCAAAAAGAAACACGAGAACAGGCGTGAAGTGCAGTTGCGAAATCTCCAATAATTCAAGAAAATTCTTATGAGAAGGGTTACTCGTGAGCTGTTTACACTACTTTTTAATAGTTTGCTCGCTTTACTAGGTTTCTATTCAAAGGGCTACGTATTAGTAGAATACCCGTGAATAAGGTATTATATGAAGTTCTACACTCATTCAGTTGATCCGTTCAAATCGAAAATTAACCATACTTCGTGTACAGACATTTATGAAGCACCCATTAGGAGTTTTAGAGTCTATGAAACTCAGTCTTTACTTACAAACAAATGAATTCACTAACGTCAACAAGTGTTACTCTAATTTGTGCCTTAAAAACATAATAAATGACCTCAAGAAACCAAGATTTCTTTACTAGCATCCTCACACACTGCGTAACAATAATTACATCTAACAGTAAGATTGAACACATCCATCCTACAGAGCAAGTCATAAACTAGCCACCTCTCCACTTTATCTAACCAGTGTCTTACCCATTGGATGTCACTGTGACATCACGTGCAAGATATGACCAAGACCTTCTCAGTCAGTCCTTTAAAATGATCTCGATCACTGAATAACCCTCATAAATGTCATCAACCTACTCTTGACATGTTTTTTTCAACTCGGAAAGTAAGAAAATAGTTAATCTTTTAGACGCAATGGACAACGGAGCGATAAATACTCCGATGATTTTTCCATACATTATGTAGGCCTTTTTCAAAATGGATACAGCAGTGGTCTTAATCAATAGTGATCAAGTATTGAGTCTTTCATGTCTTCTAAAACATTCTAGGTGTTTGCGCATGCGGAAATACCACACATTGTGAGCCTTCGTTATTCTTTGGTTTGTCTTGCTGACCATCATAGTTATGAATTTAGTATAAATGAATTTACAACGTGCGTACATACAATGATCAGATTTCCAACATTTTGCGGCATTTCAGGCAAAACTATTGACCGTTATCACATCAACAGTTGGAATTTTAATTACGGGGGGTAATTTTGCTCAAAATAATACCAAAGACCAAATGAAAACCTAGTCATTGTATGTAAACATTCATTTTACATATATTCATAGTAAGTTGATGATTCTGATGGTTATCATAACACGCACTAAATAACTGTCATAGTTCAAAATATGTGATAGTACCGCATCCGCAAACGCCATCGGTAGCTGACTGTGATTTGATCTGAGTCCGGTATTTTGTTGCTGATGGGGGACACCAAGCAGCACAATAGTGACAGTTGTATTGACTAGAAGTCAGTTGTGATCTGAGTAAAGTTGCAAAAGAGGATCCACATTGTCTGATTTACATTCAACTGGCAATTCGAGCATATGGGATATAAAAATCTTAAAAATCCCCATCATGTATATTAGAACAAAACATATCGGAGAACAATACTGTTTTCAATCAGACTCTCTTTGGGCTTGACTGATATAAATATCTAAGCTAACTAAGCCAATCACGTAAATTTTTCTGTCAATGATGAGTGTTGTAAAATGTACAGATAGCAATAACGAAGGTAACAATAACAATGATGACGTTAAAAGACAGTGACAGCGACTAAAGAAAGTTAAGTAAAACAGGATGGAAATGAGACGACAGAAACTGGTCAACTCTTGAGAAGATCAAAAGTAAGAAAGAAATTTTTCGTTAGATCGGAAATGGCATATCCTTAGCTTTTCTAGCACTGAACTAGATAAGATTCAGTCAGATGTATTATCCCTGGATTCTAAATTTTGTGACCACATACACAAGATTAGGCAACTAGATATAGTCTGAATGTGAACGAAAAATATATGATATCGCTTGATATCTGATCATCATTTAGTAATGTGTCATGATTGGAGAAACTAAAGACCGTGTCAACAGATATCAGAATAACAAATTAATATCGGGATTTCAGTGCACAGCTTGAGGAGTAACTTCTTAGATGCATTTTGAGCGTACATTTCGTCTTCAATAACACACTGTTATTGATTGAGAGGATAGCTATAGTTAACTTCTAGCTGACCCATTATTTCTCAGTTTCTTCCTTATTTATCTTTCATTTAGATGCATTCTTGCTTAATGTGCTTAAATGAGGTATGGCAACGTGAATTGCTTTCAATCACTGCTAAGTCCCATATTAATACTGACTGACTAATTTCCCGTCAAACTAGAGAATGGGTTAAAGGAAGTGTTAACCAGTATATGCGAATCAAATACGATCCCCTCTGACAGGTCTAAATCACTGGTTATTCCAGTCTTCAAGAGAGGCGAGAAGTCCTCTTCTGATAACCACACAGGAATCAGCCTGACGAACACAGTGTCCAAGATCCTAGGTTCTACAGTTCTTCAACACCTGAGTGGAGCTCGGTAACAACAAGCCCGAGAAAACCAAGTAGGATTTAGACCCGGTCGCCGGTGTATCGACCAAATATCCACACTGCACCAAGTTTTGAAACATAGACACTCTTACAGACGCCCAACGATAGCTGCATTCTTTGACATGAAGGCGGCATTCGACTCCGTTGATCGAGAAGTCGAATGGCAATGTCTCTCACAGAAAGGCGTGCCAAGTATGTACATCACCTTATTGAAAGCTCTCTACTCGAACACTTGCGGGTGTATTAGAGCCTATGGTGAGATGTCAGGTCAGCGGTACTCATCGAGTGGTGTCCGTCAAGGATGCCCACTATCTCCATTCTTATTTAATTTTATCATAGATATTCTTATGGAGGTTTCCCTCTCGTCACCTCATTACACAGACGTTGACCCAATCACAGGTGAATTTTCTTTAGATCTAGAATATGCAGATGACATAGTCCTGTTAGGTGAAGACGCTGACAAGGTGCAGAATCTACTGAACACTTTGAGTGGGAATTTGAGAATGTTTGGGATGCGATTTTCACCACCCAAATGCAAATTGTTGCTAAACGATTGGTCTTCAACGGTCCCACAGCTAATAATATAGAGTGTAATGGTTGAGTGTTTCGACCACTTCACTTACCTGGGAAGTAGGATCAACCCTGGTGGGTCAGTGGCTGATGAAATCTCTGCACGAATACAAAAGACTCGATTGGCTTTTGCCAACATACACCACCTGTGGCGCCGTCATGATATCTGTTTGTCTATTAAGGGTGGCGTGTGCTGCACAGCAGTCCGCTCTGTTCTACTGTATGGCTGTGAAACATGGCCATTGAAAGTGGAAGATATAAAAAAGCTTCAAGTGTTTGACCACCGTTGCCTTCGTAGTATAGGACGTATTCCGTGGTGTCACCACGTGAGTAATGCAGAAGTCAGGGTATGAGTTTTAGGGAGTAGAGGTAAGTCAGTTGACGAGGTTATGAACCTTCATCGACTGAGATGGTTGGGACACGTACTACGTATGCCTAGTCACCGATTGCCTCGTCACACAATGTTGGCTGAAGTAGGTTCAGGCTGAGAAAAGGCCTGTGATGGCCAGACTAAAACATGGCACTAATGTATGAAGTCTTTGACTGTTAGTTTGAGCCATGTAGGGCGATGCAGACTAAGTGGTTGGGGTCCGCGGGACAAGAGGAACCAGTGGTTGGAGACTCTAGGTGATATGACTGAGAACCGATGTCAGTGGCGCAGATGTATACACACACTATCCTCATCTTAACTACACTATACCGAATCTCACCATTTTCTCATTCTTTCTTTCTCTCTTTTCGTGCTTTATATTTTTTTCACTGAATTTTCTTATCTTCATTTTGTACCTCACTGCCTTTTTACTTGATGTACTGATATGAGGTGTGGCAACTCGAACCGCTATGCAGTAATGCCTGGTCCTATGTTGATATTGATGATGATGAATATTCGTAATATTTAGGAATAGAAAATGCGAGTTGTGCAAAATGGAAGGTACAAAGTAAAAAAATACCTATCTGATATGAGTGCTGATGGTTTACGTGGATGGACTTACTAGTCATATAGATTCGTGGCATGACATAAAGGAGCAAGTATAATTTGTACTTTATTTTGTTTCAAGTAGACGACATCCCTTAATTATAAGGCTTGAGGGGAAAATCAACATGGCTTTGCGATTCATATACGCACCAGTTCGTTTCTCAGTCGCTTTCATTTCAGGAAACCCTCCTTCATGCTTTAAGAATTGCATTGAACAACTATTTAAAAAACATTCAGCAATCTGACCCTGTTGTTAGTAGTTACTTAAACCGCATAAGATTATTAAAATATAACCGACCTTTTTCAATAGTCGCATCTTTTGTTGTAAAATACTGACTTCAATATGATGTTCTCGACGGGCTCGAAATAGCTCTGCGCGTTCACGACGTAAGTTTTCTTTCTCCTCTTTTTCCCGAGCTTCTAATTTGGCATCAACTAAGCGACGTCTTTCCATCTGCGGCTTTTTGATTGCTGCTGCGGATTCAGCTTGGAATTGTTTCAAAGTGCCCTGGAGGATACCGAGCATACGACGTCCTCTATTTACGTTTGAAAAGAAATTAAAAAATAATAAGGAACACTTATTTTTGTGCATTTTAACCATCAAAAATTTAAAAACTAGGTTAAGAACAAACGCGAGAGCATAAACATTCAGAAAGAAGTAGTAGCCTATTAGATGTAACTAGACTGATAAATAGTTTACCAGTTCTTCAAGGAACAAATCACTATGATGAAACAGAACTGCGAACGTTAAGAAGTGTAAAGAAATGGATGTGGACGGATCAGTACAACCTTTACCACTTATTAGGATTTGGAACACACTAGTCAATATAAAGACTGAGTTAGATCCTATCAACCTATAGCTTGTGAATGTCTGAAAGGAGTTCCGACAGTGTGTTGTGCTAATAAGGGTTTTCTATTAAACTTGCGAATACGTGTAATGGTTTACACCATTTTGCTCGCTAGATATATCTATCATCACCAAACCTACTAAATATCTTTGACAAACGTCTTATTACTTGTGAGATGCATGATGTTCTTAAACCGATCTGCAACCTCTGTTTTAAGGGTAAGAAAGTGACCATGTGCTGCCTACTTTACTTAGAAAGTCGCATAAGCCAGAAATATTTAGTTGTTGGCAAAACATCGACGCGGATAAAAGTGGCTCTTTAGTACTCATCAACTTTTACTAAGATTGGCTCTACCAACGAAACTAATTTTCCAGCAAAGGCAAGCAGGATAGGCAACAGTTATTGTCCCGGTCTACAGCAGTTGGAAGCGTTCTTTGAAAGTGAATGATATTTCACCCCCCACACAACAGATCGATGGTATCATAACATGGTGGTCGATTATAACATGCTACGATGACCCAAAGAGATATGCTGACAGAAAAGGTTGTTTCTTGAGGTTCTATCATGCCGGAAAGATCCGTTGGAAAGTGGCAAGAAAAAAGTAATTACTGAAATGGTCTAAGCAGTCAGTTTATGATGGAGATTCAAAGGGAAGTCGTATTGCTGGCTGGATGGGGTGTAGTAGCAGTAAGGTGTTTCTGGCGGATGACAAGCAGTACAACACTGGTGTGGCCTTCCCCATGAGAAATGGAGGTTAGAAAAGCAGGCTACAGAAATAGAACACTCCTTCCTACCCTACGGTATCAATTAATCAATTAATCATTATCAGGCATTACTGCGTAACGGTTCGAGTTGCCACACCTCATATCAGTACATCAAGTAAAAAGGCAGTGAGGTACAAAATGAAGATAAGAAAATTCAGTGAAAAAAATATAAAGCACGAAAAGAGAGAAAGAAAGAATGAGAAAATGGTGAGATTCGGTATAGTGTAGTTAAGATGAGGATAGTGTGTGTATACATCTGCGCCACTGACATCGGTTCTCAGTCATATCACCTAGAGTCTCCAACCACTGGTTCCTCTTGTCCCGCGGACCCCAACCACTTAGTCTGCATCGCCCTACATGGCTCAAACTAACAGTCAAAGACTTCATACATTAGTGCCATGTTTTAGTCTGGCCATCACAGGCCTTTTCTCAGCCTGAACCTACTTCAGCCAACATTGTGTGACGAGGCAATCGGTGACTAGGCATACGTAGTACGTGTCCCAACCATCTCAGTCGATGAAGGTTCATAACCTCGTCAACTGACTTACCTCTACTCCCTAAAACTCATACCCTGACTTCTGCATTACTCACGTGGTGACACCACGGAATACGTCCTATACTACGAAGGCAACGGTGGTCAAACACTTGAAGCTTTTTTATATCTTCCACTTTCAATGGCCATGTTTCACAGCCATACAGTAGAACAGAGCGGACTGCTGTGCAGCACACGCCACCCTTAATAGACAAACAGATATCATGACGGCGCCACAGGTGGTGTATGTTGGCAAAAGCCAATCGAGTCTTTTGTATTCGTGCAGAGATTTCATCAGCCACTGACCCACCAGGGTTGATCCTACTTCCCAGGTAAGTGAAGTGGTCGAAACACTCAACCATTACACTCTATATTATTAGCTGTGGGACCGTTGAAGACCAATCGTTTAGCAACAATTTGCATTTGGGTGGTGAAAATCGCATCCCAAACATTCTCAAATTCCCACTCAAAGTGTTCAGTAGATTCTGCACCTTGTCAGCGTCTTCACCTAACAGGACTATGTCATCTGCATATTCTAGATCTAAAGAAAATTCACCTGTGATTGGGTCAACGTCTGTGTAATGAGGTGACGAGAGGGAAACCTCCATAAGAATATCTATGATAAAATTAAATAAGAATGGAGATAGTGGGCATCCTTGACGGACACCACTCGATGAGTATAGCTCCCAGGACAATCCTGCTGTATGGAGTTGTTTTGTCTGGCGTTAACACAATCAAGTCTAAATCTAACAATCTTAAGGAGGCCTGTGTGAACAGCCGTGAGTAGATGGGCTTTGTGGTCATAGAAAACTAATCCTTTTTCTCTTTCGAGTACCTTGCAGAAAAAAAGCCTTCACGGTGTGGACAACGGAGAAGTATCAACCGCCTGAACACTTTCAGTGGTATGCAAACCCCCCCCCCCCCGCAGTGGTAACCTACCTACTTTTCTTATCTGTCTCTCCTTTGTCTTCACTTGTTGATACCAATATTAGGCTTCTAAAAACTTCTTCAAGCTCAGCCTGTGACAAATGCTAACGATCAAAGCTAATAAAACACCACTCCTAGAATCATAAAACAACGCCACCGATCTGACATAGGAGAGATGAAACATCAGTAACAAATTCAAATAGAGATAAAAGGAGAAGACAACCCAAATGAAATTAATGGAGATAGTCACCTCCAAAGATACCTCATCATGGACTCCGAAAAAACGGGGAATATTCAAGTAAAGGTTTTCAGTAACATGCTATGTTACGAAAGGATTCAGACAGCTGAGCACTGTCACACAAAAGCCCTAGATCGACAAAATCAAGTGAAACGTTTAGGTTATGCAGTATGATAAGATTTAGATCCCAGTGAGTATACCAGTGGTTCAGTATGTAGTAAAATGGAAATATCTAATATATGCATACACACAACAAAGCCGAAACCCAACATGATCTTCATAGGTCCTCTGTAGTCAAGCTGGAGCCAGGTATGCTATTCTGAAACCTTAGGAAGTAAATTAATTTAATTAGTTTTTCGAGTTGCTGTGCAACGAGTTCTTCGATTCTGTATCAACTGAAGAGATTAACAACCTACAGATGTCAGCAAAGAATTCCTATTAAAAGTCAGTTAATATCAACCTGGGACCTGAACTCATCGCGCAACGATCCATTTCGTAAACAGCAAAGAAAATGCAAGTCTAAGAAATGAAAATATGTCACCAAAAATTATAGACAGCCATACAAAGAAAAGATTTGAAGTAAATAGTGAAATATGACACAACTATAGTGCAGATAAGGCATAGATGTATCTATGCTACCGATATCTACTCTGAACCACATAACGATGTCTCGAACCATTGGTTTTAGTTGTAATGCAAACATGTACCTATACGGCTCAGAACAGTAGCTAGAGGTTTCATGGACTGATGGTGTTTTAGGCTAGTCACCCTTAGCTCTTATCCAAACTGACCCAGACTCAGTCAGTACAGGATACTAAGATGGGTCACTAAGTGTTGTCGTGTTAACACACAGCTAATAGCTGAGTGAAAATGAAAAGTGAAATGCAACTCTGCACCAATATACATGTTTGTGCAGTAAACCATGAGCCATACCTAATGTGTGAGGCTTAATGATACTTGGCTGTACAATCAGATAAGCGGGGCGAGGTTCAGACCTATGACCCACTGGTTGAAAATTAAATGCCTAGGCCAGTATGGCACAGCTTCAGATACTGTTAATCTGACTGATAAGTGTGTCAATACTTCCCAATAATTTAACGATAGCTCATCAAGAACTGCTACTACTACTACTACTACTACTACTACTACTACTACTACTACTACTACTACTACTACTATTACGTATTTTAGGTCACCTGAAGCCTTCCCAATAACCTCAGTAACAGTAACAAATTATTACGCCAGTCAAGCAACGGTTTGATAGTGGACAAATAAATAGTTGGAGAACTAGACTTTTCCCCGAAATGCTCAACTTAGTGTTCTGGTTACTACTCTATAAGAAGGTCAATGGCTTGCTTTTGTCGATCACAATTTCATTAACCGCTAACTCTTTAATGCCAATCCCCTCAACAATTCTAAACTGCTTACTACAATTCCATGTTAAATTGCTTATTTGACGTAGCACGTAGTGGTAGTGTTATTTATTGGATGACATTTGGAGCGAAATTTAGTGACCCTATTCATATAATACGATTATATACACCCTAAGGTTACAACATACCCAGCGAGATCATATTAGATGAACGGTAAAAGTAGCACATCCTAGTATACATTAGCAGAATAACAGATTTTTTAGCATGGATTATGGATACATCAAAGACAAAGTGTATTACTGATATAACCCCCTTAAAGAGCTTGCCTTTCCTTGTCTGATTTTTTCAGCTCTTTGGCAGCATCTTGCCGAGAACGAGTATCCGCAACACGAACGACAGAAGAGGCGACAGAGACCTATTGTGATTAAGAAAATGAAATCAAAAGAATACTCTAATGTACACAGACAAATTACATTACAAAATAATTGACCGTAAATGTATGAATCCTTCCATTCTACACATGAATACTACCGTAAAAATGAGTGAAAAGTTACTACGCTACAAGAATATGGATACTCGAAAAACAAGACTGTCTCAGCAGCTACGTGCACATCTGTGCAGTAGGTGAACTCACACCTAATAACTGTCCAGACCCCTTATAAGTGGAGCGGGATTTGAATCCATGACCCACTTGGTTAGATATCAACTGCCCAAACCAATGAGTTAGGGCTTCATACAGCTTCGAAAGGACACAGTATAATCAGTTGTCTGGATCCAGTCATACCAGATATTATGAGCTATGATGCATTGGTCTAGACAGCTACTAGACAATAGGTTGAGGGTTTCAGTCCCACTCTCCCTACTATGATATGGACGGTTAGGTTGTATCACCAAACTTCGTACAATAAGTATGGCTCATTGCCTAGAGCGTGAGTCTGGACATGGTTGCTGAGAAAGTTTAATTCAGTCTTTCATGCGCTCCAGAAAAGTTAAGTGGATTGGTATTCATCACCTGCGGTGTAAAAGATGCTGAAACTGAACTGATCCAGCAGTCAGACAGAGAGACAGACAAAATCAACGCAAAACCTAGCACGCAAGTGCATCGGTTTAAGTTGCCACACTTCATAGTAGTATACAAAAAACAAGTAGATAGGACTGATATTAAAGTAGACAAAGGTATATGGGGGGGGTGAAAACTAAGGTTGGTCAAAGCAATCACTTTTTAGCATACGTCAAACTACTAGTCTGGTCAAACTAAATTTAAAGGGGTTCTGTGCAGCGTCGTAGATGCTTTTGACGATTGTTGACCTGCATAATGACTACTTTACGGACTATCTTTTAGACATCAGGGTTGCTGCTTGTCAATACACTCGCAGACGAGGAGTCATTGCTTCCTTCGGCAGTTATTTTTTTAATCCAACTGAACCTTTTAGTTGATAGGTACGCGCACAACAATAAATAGAAATACAACCCACTAGTGAAACTCAAATTTAACTATCCAGTGACAACCATGCCATAAGGTTGTCGGTTGAGAGTACACTAAACAATTCAAGCTGGTAGATGGAGATATACGGAGCACTCGTATGTCGGTTTGTGAGATCCAACACACATCAACAGCGAGGCTTCTCATAATTTTAGGCAAATATTTTCTACGTGCGATATGTACCACCTGCAAGTTGAAAACAGCCAGCTCCAAAAGTGCATGGAGTTTCAAAACAGTTAAATTAAATATTGCACTGAAGGGTAACTTAGTGAAAATAGCTGTTTAGAAACCTAAATAAAACACAGATCAGAATTTCATACAACGATGAGTTGAGCGAAATGATGATGAAGGTAAAACAGAATAACAAGGTACATAAAAAAATACGGTAAAAGTAGGACGATAATATAAACAGTTGAGTTTGTGATCTTAGGTTTAGGCAAAAGATGACTAAGGCATACTGAAGTGTTTGAGGCGTAATTTTAACATCGACTGTGGGGATTAAAATATAGCCTAGACCCAAGCAAATGGCTGCCATCAGAGATCATCCCTGAAGCTTTTAACCTCAAACATATTTCGCAAGAGAGCAAAAAATGTCAGGTGCTGCTTTTCTTAGCTTACTGATGATCAACATTGATTTGTCATACATCTGTCCCGGATCCCGAGACTGGTTGGGAACCACGGTTTTTGACCTCCTTGAGTGAACCCTCCCCACCCACAACTCCAAGAAGTTGTACTGATCTGATCCTTGACTGTAGCAAGGGATTTCGGCAACAAAGTGAAAAATACACTTGAAAGAAACTACGTACACATTTAGCGCATTAAAATGTGATCATACGCCGAAAACCACTGTAACGCTACAATCAATTAGGAGAGGGAAATGCAACGGTATCACTGATAAGAACTCATCTATTGATGATAGTGTCATCACTGTTTAGTAGTTGGTCAGATGATGTCAAAGCCGTTCTTTTTAAAGTGGATGATACCGTTTTGAGATGTAATGCTAATACGATACCTAAGTGGGTTCAGTTATTATTCACAATCCGAGCACATTTAATTTGATAATAATGAGTAATTCGTTTATCTTTTACATAGCTACATATAAATCGGCATTTATCTTAACAAAACCAGCTCTTATAACCAACACTCAAGACTATTTTGTTTTAGAACCCCACAGACACATGAAACGGAAAGATTCTAATATGACTTATGAGCACACTTTTACCAGCAGACATCAGACAATCTGATGCGAATGCATGCTATTTCTGGTTTCTGCCCAAAAGCAGCGGAATAAAAAAAATAAACACAACAGAGTAAAAACAACAGTAGGGTCGAAAAGCACAAGAACATCGACTGGAGAAAGATGAATGTGAGGTGAACAGAATAAAAAGGTACACTAGAGTTAGACGCGTATCTCTTGATGTCAAACACTTGTATGAGAAGTAAAACTTGAAGACGCTCAACGACTTCAACTCCTGCTGTCAGGCGACATAATAACGAGTGTAGGTCTTGAAGCAAAACTGCTTTTGGGAAGTGAGGTGCACTTCGCTAGTACGACTACGCTCACTCAGGCTCTTAAATGAGATTAGATATACAGCATCTGTAGAATACGGTACTATGGGTGGGCTAATAGTAGGTCAAAATTTATGGGGCACACTCAGGAGTTTTAAATTTTTCAACCCCTGCTCAGTAGAGATTTCTGCGCTCAAATTTAGAAAATAAGACTCCACTCCACCTATTTTCATGCAAACAAATATGAGAGAGAAAAGTAATTCTTACTCTAATAAGTATGCCGAGAGCGATGATCCAAAACCCATTATAAACCAGTAGCAGCTGTGTTTTATTTGCATAAACTTAAGGCAAGAAAAGTGGCAAACAGAAAACTCATCACGAAAAGTCAAAAATAACCCTACAATGACTTACTCTTAAATCATCATCAATTAGTCTTTTCACATCCTGAAAGCTAGCAATACAATTTAAATCCAGCCTAACAGAAACTTACATTTCTTGTTCACTTAACTTATCCACTGTATCTGACCTATTTCCATTAAGCGATGAAATGGGAAACAAACCTTGCGGGATTATTTCCAACATTCTTGGTACGCATGCGTTTAGAATTTGTATCTCCTAAACGTCTATCAGATGGATCCCGACCAGTGATTCTTTTGATATCATCGTCAACTATCTTCAGCTGCTCCTTAGCTAATTCTAAATCTTTCCTTAGCGCGTCGATAGTACCGACTCCAGTCATACTCGCAAGGCGCGAATGTTATTTTACCGGGCTTTCAATTAAAATTTGTTCAACCCATGTCATGACATCGACATCCAATTCGCAGTTTTTTTTCAATGAAATAGTAACAAGTTGCAGCTTATGTTCTCAATCTTTTATATTGGAGATCCAACATTTCTCGTTTTTACGGATCAGTATAAACCTACGGTTTTCTTGGACAAGAATACTGTTCAAATGATTTGAAGTTCTCTAAGCTTCAGTTCTTTTGTATCGAATGATGGAATTTTGGTAAAGGATTGAAAGTTCTTTTTGAATACGACGATAAATTTGAGAGGATACAAGTTAATTTTCGATTGCTCTTCTTTCATTGGTGATGTCTGATTTACAAAGTAGGGTGAAATTTGAGGGTTTATGGAAGACGGATTAATTTGTCTATGGTCTCATTCAAACCTTATATTTTTCCTTACAACCGCATAAAAGTTCATTATGATACATAACACTGTGTTCTCTATCACTATGATCCAACTCAGCCATCACTGCTACTTAGGTGGACCACTCTCTGCGTTTCGTGTAAAATTGGCCATTGGGTTTCCACAACTGCGGATCCTAACCAAGTGAACAGTAGGCACCGATCCTTATCCGCACTCCGAAAGTCTTATCTTCTATAACTGACTTCCTGAGGGATTTATAGAGACACTCAGGATCTTGAATGAAATGATGCACAGTTAACGCAAACCTTATTCTACAGCATGATACTGGCTGAGGCTGGAATGAATCTGGCAGAAACTCACGATCTGGTGCACTAATTTATCTTCTTTCTTAAATGCTATTTCTGGGAATATTACTAGCCAAAACTATTGAAGTTTTTTATAAGAGGCGATAACCTCCCCAGTCGACTGGTTCACTATTTACAACCCGGTCCTAGGCCCGAATGAAGAGGGAAGGTTGGACATGGGGCTGGCAACCCTATCCCATAAAACTTCAAAGCACAAAGAGAATATAAAAAACAAGATTAAACTTTTTCCCCGCTGGAATCGGGGAGACGGAATGACGCCAGTTGGTGGAACCCTTCGTGAAGCGAAGTGGCCGATTTGTCATCTCTCGGTGAAAGCGGTAGTAAGCATAGGGACATGGAATGTTCGCACCATATTTGAACCTACCAAAGCCACAAGGAGAGAACCACTAGCTCATCATGCTGTAAGGCCTTCGGTTGTAGGAACATCTTTGTATCAGCTACAAATGCTATACCTTCCCCATAAGAAATCTCAAAGTACATTAAATGGGTCAATAATTCTATTCGGCTATTGTGAGGGTTGTATGATCCAGTAATTACCCTGAAATAAAGCTGCACAGTTGAACATGACTCTCAAATTCGTTGCACACTCCGGTTCATGACATGAAGGTGTAGGGTGCATCAACGAACCACGGCCGGCGTCAAGAGTTGACAAGCTTTTCAATTTTGTTATTTAGCTGGCGTCTACTCATACTTTCTGCCTGAAAAGTCGCTTTTCTTGGCCGGTTCCCCTAATAAACTCTCAACCATAGTTTAGTCACTTCGGAAATTCTGGTTAGCCTATGTCGACTAAGTTTCCGTTGAATTCTGTCCTCAACTTGACCACTGATGGGTACGGATGAACAGCCGGTTACCCCCGGAGCATCCCTGCTCCCTGAAGTTTTCTATCTCAGAACTTTTCTTGCCTGCACAACACCTCCTAGTCAGCCCGCGAATTATGGTTGCCTCAACAATGACAGCGTAAATTGTGGAGCGTGGACTCGTTCTGCCAGTTTACACTGAGAACTGCTTAACTCAAGTGTGGTTTCACTTCTAACGGCTTCTTTCCCCATGAACTGCCCTAGGGCCCATTGTTCACGTTGGTCATCTCACTCGATGTAGATCCAAAGTGAGTCTGCGTGCGATGACCTGTGTAATACTAATACATTTCGAGTGATGAATCATGCGAACAGGCCATTTTTAGGGGAAATATCTAAATGCTATTACTCTCAGTCAAGCTGAGTGACTCCCGACCTTTGATCCGCTACTCGAACAGTGTCCGTACGCTGGACATTGAGAGCCAATCCATCGATTACGCCATCTATACATGAACTAGCCCCTGATCTTCCGAGGGATGTAGTTCTTTACTGTTTTTCATCTTCATCGCCAAAAAATAGATCACACCTAATCCTTTCGTATGCATTGGAAGTGTCTCGCATGCCGTCTACTTGGAAATGTTTCTCAGCTCCCACTGGAACCGTGTAAACCCACTGAAGCAATACACGAGCTTACTAGTGGTTACCGGTGGTTCCCAGTCAACCGAATCATGTCAGCGAAACTTATTTGGGGGTAACGTGCAGAGATCAGCATCTCGGTTCTCAACTGTAAAATTCCGCAGCGTATTAGAGCTTCAAAAAACCTATCAGATGAAAAGTCTTCTAACCACTGACCTCTGTTCTTCAGTGGTCAGGAAGTCCATGGCGCCAGCGATATAGAATGTAATTCTAGGTCTGTGGAAATTTCTAATGCATCTCAAACAGGCCGTGGCTTCGAAATCACAGTGACCTTTTGGCAAATAATAAGCCTACGGCACCCTTCTACTATTTTTCAGGCCACGCAGTATCAATACCCCCAAATCAAAGGTGAGCTGCTCAATCTTTTTCTGTAGCAAAGCGAGGTGAGTCTACGTAGCTGGGTTGCCCATTTGCAGGCAGAATATTTCAGTCCAGCCCACTAATTTGCCTTGAACATTTAATCATACATTCATTGTGGGTTTCAAATTGGAGGGAGAATTTAGGTCAACCTTATGACGTTCTTGATACACTATTACATCTGTGAATTGCGAGGTTCAAGTTCCCATCGCGCGACTACTTCGGATCATATGTTAATGAAGAAGATCTTGGAGAATCTGTCTTTCCTGATCATATTCAAGGATGGGGGACAGTGAGACGTATGACCAAATGGCCGTTTTTTCCCCTTCATAGCAAAAATGTAGGCTATGTTGAATAATGGCATCAGTAGCTAGGTTTCTCCCTTCTGCTCCGCCAAACTAATTAACAAAGGTCTGAATGGGTGCGGTTGGTAACTGAAGTACATCAGGTCTATATCCGGTAGACAGATACTGTTCACATCGGTGCTCAAGTAGTTCCCGAAATATGACAGTAAGTTCCTTGTTCCGATTAGTAAGCTGGAGGTTTGTAGTGGTCTAAAAATATCATTTACCCTCTAGTAGTCACTAACCTTTCCTCCGATGAGCTGAACTTGGTTAAAAGTCACTTTCCATCCTTTTTCATGATTAGGCCCTTGTGAAATAATATAGAGTGACTCCATTTATTGTTGTTGTCAGACCGGGATAAGCCAGTCATTGATAATGGGGCTGAAATCACTTTGCTTGGGGATAAATCTACGGCAGCTATGACACAAGTGTTTCGGACAGGTTGTAATCGATGGCATTTACAAGCTGGATATAAGTCGGACCAACGAACTGACATTTCGGTAGGGGAAAGGTGAGAGGGTGCAGAGGAAAGATTAGAACTGACGTATACATATATATATATATATATATATATATATATATATTTCGAAAAATAAATTATACCAACACATACCGTTTTCACGGCAATGTCTGAACGTTATTGTTCCTGGTGAGGATGAGAAGAGATAATAGGATGAGCTGCTGACCGCCTAGAAAGGAACCTGGAGTTGGAGTGAACTATGTGAAACGAATAGAGTTAGTGGCATATCATGCTGGGTGGAAACTTTGTGTTGCCTCGTTCGCCATTGAAAACACGGAACTCGGATAAGTTCATGAGTATGCCGTTTAAATTTTGTGATATTCATTCTAACACCTTAGAAAGTCTAGCAACCATTTTGAGGTGAAAAGTGCACCTTTCTCATTCTAACAACCCAGTTAGAAGCCGAGATGTTGGGCTTCGTGAAACGGGCCTACTAAAGCTGGAAAGACCTAGTAATTTAACACCTGCGCAAGCATGTTCTATTCAACCACCCTCACGCAACTGCGTACAAGCAGTGAGTAGATGTCGTTTGCTTCCAGATACTAATCCTTTTCAAGCTTTTGTTCTCTGTATGTAGGTTTTTAAATAACTTAAGACGATTCCCCATCCTCCCAATAAATAAGCGGAATATCCAGTACGGTGCTTCAAGTCCTAGGAAGATTCCCCTGGTTTCTTCCATCACAAGCACTGCAGAAAGAAATGGTGTGCGAGCCATCTGGTGATTTCTTTCTCTAGAAATCGATCCTATGTCGTCTCTAACGTGTTTCCGACAGAAGCATTTCATTAGTTCTGAGCCGCTGATCACATGGAACAACTGGCTTTTCTAGTGGAACAATTTTTGTTATTGCACCGCTTCTTGAAACATCAAACATTTTATGGGAGTGGTTGAGAAGTGTCGCGAGAGAAGCCTTACCCTGCAAGTCTATATAGATATTAGCTCATGTAATTAAAGAATTATTCAGATAAAAGATTGAAATTATCCGAACAGGGCATTCGACCGTTCGGAATATCCTCACTGTTTAACAGAGTACACGTTTAAAGTCAAATTTATATATTTAATGGACAACCATCCGGGTTGATTTGATCCCGACCAGTACAGTAAGCACTTCATCTGAAGGCGTGTAGAAAAAACACACGCGACTTGACATTCATTCTTGACAGCGAGCACGAAATGTGCACGTTAAATTTTGTAGAACTAACCGCACAAATTATAGGCAAATGTTGGAATGTGGAACTGGGTTAAAAGCACATCTAGATCAGGGACAAGCGTCGGGTTTCAAATTGGTAATCTGGAAGGACCTACAGTTTGATTTCAGTGACCTCTTAGGAGTTTGCTTTCTCACGTGCCGACAAAGAACGAGTAAGTTTTGAGTTTTTTATTGTTTCCCGCTAGATTTCCGGGAGGGTCAAATCTAAGCGCAGTTACTATGGTCTATAATCTACATGTGTGACTCAAAAAGGGGAAATTCATATACCGTCTTTTATGTTACATTTTTTCTATAAGGTTCCTAGTGGAACATAGGGCTTCATTAGCACGTGGCC